TTGCTGATGTTTTCTTTAGCTGTGCAGAGCTCCTTATTTTGATGAAGTCCCATTTGTTCATTATTTCCTTTGTCCCTTGCTGTAGGGGACATATCAGTGAAAATGTCTCTGTGTGGAATATCTGAGTCTCTTGCCTATGTTCTCCTCAAGGACTTTTATGGTATCATAACTTATATTTAAGTCTTTTATCCATCTTGAGTTAATTTGCGTGTATGGTGTAAGTTGGTGACTGAATTTTAATTATTTGCATGTAACTGTCCAGCTCTCCCAACATCATTTGTTGAAGGGGCTATTTTTACTTCATTTTATACTTTTGCTCCCTTCGTCAAATATTAATTGACCATAGAGAAATGGGTTTATTTCTGGGCTTCCTATTCTGTTTCATTCATCTATGTGTCTGTTCCTATGCCAATATCAGACTGTTTTGATTTCAGTGGCCTTGTAATATAGTTTCATGTCAGGTACTGTGATTCCTTCTACTTTTTTCTTCTTTCTCAGAATTGCTGCAGCTATTTGGGGTCTTTTATCATTCCATATAAATTTTTGAATGTTTATTCTATATCTGTAAAATATGTCATTGATTTTTTTAATAGTGATTACATAGGACCTTTGAATTTATTTGGGTAGTATGGACATTTTGATGATGTTAATTCTTCCAATCCATGTACACAGCATATGTTTTTATTTATGTGTGTCTACCTTAATTTCCTTCTTCAGTGTTGTATAGTTGTCTCTATGAAGGTCTTTTACTTCCTTGATTAAGTTTATTCCTAGTTACTTTATTTTTCTTGTCGCTATAGCAAATGATATTTTTTCCTGATTTATCATTCTTATAGTTCATTGTTGGTGTACAAAAATGCCTTTTATTTCTGAATACTGACTTTTTTTATCTCACCGTTTGGCCAAATTCATTTATTGGTTTGAGTAGATCTTTTGTGGAATCTATGGCATTTTCTATGTACACTATCATGTCATCTGCAAACAGTGATAATTTTACTTCCTCCTTTCCATTTTTGATGCTTTTATTTCCTTGTCTGACCGCTGTGGCTAGGACCTCCAATACTATGTTGAACAGCAGTGGTGAAAGAACATAACCTTGTCTTATTCCCAAGCTTAGTGGGAAAACCTTTAGTGTTTACCCATTGAGTATTATGTTGGCTGTAGGTTTTTCATATATTTCTTTTTTTATGTCGAGGTATGCCTCTTTATTCCCTCTTTGCTGAGTTTTTTTTTTTTTATCATAAATGGGTGCTGTACCTCATCAAATGCTTTCTCAGCATCTATTGATATGATTTGTTTTTTTGTCTTTCCTTTTGTTTATGTGATATGTTTATTGATTTGCAAATATTGAACCATCCTTGCATCCCTGGTGTGAATCCCACTTGGTCATGGTGGATCATCTTTTTAATGTTTTGCTGGGTGTGTTTTGCCAATATATTGTTGAAGATTTTAACATCTACATTCATCAGTGATATTGACCTGTAGTTTTTTTTTTGTTTGTTTTTTTGTTTTTGTTTTTGTTTTTTTCCTTGATGGTGTCTTTATCTGGTTTTGGGATTAGGATGATGCTGGTCTCATAAAAAGAGTTTAGGGGTCTTCCCTCTTTCTGTATTTTTTTGGAATGGTCTGAGAAGGACAGGGGTTAACTCTTCTTTAAACATTTTGTATAATTCTCCTGGAAGATCACAATTTTTCTTTATCAATTTATTCATAATGAATAAGTCATCCAGAAAACCTTCCATTACTGGAGCTGGTGGATCTAACTTAAGATTAAAGCATTCATCATTGTCAGTTCAGCATCCTGCTCACCATCAAGACCTGTATTTATGTGGATGTGTGGTGTAGTTTTAATCAGGGGTCAAGAGAAGGAGCATGTTGGGACCCCCTTTTTATTTGATTGTTAATTTCAGAAAAACCATCTCCTCTATCTCACAGTCTCTATTCATATCTGCATGTAACCCATAGAAGTGCTGTAGCCATGGCTGTACCTTATGGTCATCCACTAAAATTGAACCCGATGCACTGATTATATGGACATTCAAAATTAGGAAAGGTTCCCTGTGTATGGTGATGAATTATCATGGACACTGAATGGCTTTTGTTTGAGCTGACATTTCCACTTTGACCTCCAGAATATACAATGATACAAGTGTGTAGATTTCAGTGTCATGTGTGTAGTAATCATTTCAGTTGACATAGAAACATAATACAGACTGGATGTGGTCCTTCCATTGACAATGGTGTCCCTACCCTGCTCCATGTTCTGTGATGACATCAGTACTGGCTGAGGGACAGGAAACTAGGCATTGCTGTTGTATCAGGTGAAGAGATTCCATAGGATCTCATGCTTACAGAGGACTTAAAGAACACTGAGATGTGATCAATTGTGCTGGAACCTAGAACACCTGTCAACCCTCATCTTTGCTTCAAGAATGACATCTGTGTGATGCTCGGCCAGAGAGAACACCATAGAAATTCCTCCTTGACTTTCATGTGCTTACTTTCTTCCAAGCACAATTACATTGTTCAGAAATAAGGAAATGTCCTAGAACTTGCTAGGAGACACCTGGTTTAAATCCCCAAATGTGACACTGACCAAGGTTTCCCAGATGCAGACGCCTTGATGCAGTGGTTAATTCAGAGGACACGAATGCTTGAAATGTGTTCCCTTCACAATCACAACAAATAACAGGGGTCTTTTCAAGAGTATCTTCCCCCTAGTGCATCTGGTCTCTTGAAAATTTTCCCTGAATTTCTGAAGTGCCCATTACAGCATCAGTCCTGGGTCTCAGGTCCCTGGTTGTGTGTGAGGAATTCAGGATACCCATTGCCTGTCATCTTCCCATCCCAGCTCAGATGTCCTGATTATCATGGTTTGTGACACACTCAGGTTGTGGGTCATCACACTGTATCACTTGTATACTAGCACATGGCTGTGTCCTTGGCTTCCAGATATCTATATGCAGATAGGCTATTCTGAAAGATATGTATGGAGAAGAAAAATTGTTCTGAGAAGCCCTGGGCATGCATGGGTTTCACACTATTTGTGTTGATCCAGCCCATGTATTGCAGGCCCTCTCTGGAGTCCTCTCTCACCCAGAATATAGTATAGCTGGTGAAGGAGTATCCAGAAACCTTGCAGGAGACCATCACTGAAGCCCCAAGATTCTTCACCTCTCACCCAGAATGCACCATCTGCTCCAGGGAGTAGACATCTGTATACAGGAGGCAGGAGTTGGTGGATATTCACCTTGACTCTCTCTCATCCCCTTCCAGGCCCAGGAACTAAGGAGCTCCACAACTGTAGCCACTGCCACTAGAAAGAGGGCTGCCCAGCTCCAGTTCATGATGAGAGTCTTTGTCATAGGGACTTCTGCAGGGGAGAGTGTGGCTGTGGGTGATGCTCTCAGAGCACAGATTTACCCAGGCTTAACCTAGTCTACCTAATCCCATTTCATAGTCGTGAGGTGCAGGATTTCATAGCTGAATAGTTGACTCTACCTGAGAGAGGGTAGAGGGCACAGGGACCATGATCAGTGAGTGACGCAGGGTCCAAGTACTGATCATTATTATCAAATATGCATTCCCTGCCAAGTCCCTGAGTTCTGTGCATATATAGCTGTTCCCACAGTGGAACAAATCCCCCAAGGATATGCTCCTCATTGAGAAGCCCCTTTTGAATGTAACAGAGGCCACTTGGATCAGTTATGGTCTTTAATACTTGTAGATCTTATTTCTGGCATCAAAGTGTCTCCAAACTGCAGCACTGAAACAATTGAAAATACCATCCTTGGCATCAGCTCCTAAACATGCAGATATAAATAAACCCTAAAAACACCCCCATTAACTGTGGTTCTCTTGTCTTATTGAGTATGGTAAATTCTCTGATAGAATAGGATATTTAGAATCACCTCATGCCTAATTTTCATTTTATATATTTTTTTTAATGAAAACATTAAGATTCAGGTCTACAGAGGAGAAAATCCCTCCCCTTCCTCCACTCCACCTGCTCCTTTGGTAGTATCACTGAGCTCATGGGACCTGTGTGCCTCCTGCTGTCCAATCCATGTATTGCAGGGCAGGGTCTTCTCTGGCCTCAGAGGGCATAAATCCCTCAGAATCTCTAGTCGAGAATTAAAGGTTGAATTGTGAGGCACCATGTGTTTAAACATCTCAGAATACAGAGTTTTGGCTTTTTAAGCCCCAGTGATTCTGCAGGGAGCCCCAAACCAGGGCACTATGAAGCTACCAGAGAGTCTTTTCCCTGGACCTGCCATATACATTGACTCAGCTGACACCCCTGAATCCAGAAGATTTAAGGTGTGTTGGGGTCTTAATGTCTTCAGGTTCCTGTGCTTTCTCATCCTATTTCAGTATCCTTACATGTGGCCCTAATGCCACTGCACTTCTACAGCTTAGTAAATCCCACACTACACTCACACTCATACACTGATGATTTTCATGGTAATGACTTCAGGCCTCCTTGCTCCCCTGCTCCTCGTACATGGACAGGATCTCCAAACACATTTGAACTGAATGAGTGACCTGCTTTGATGACAGAACATAAGCAAACATGATTGATGTGAAGAATGGAGAGTGCTCAAACTGGTGGCTTCCTGTCCTCCTAGCATCTGGAAGCTTCAAAATCTGCAGTGAGAAGGCTCTGGTTTGTCCTGGAGAAGGTCAACAGGAGACCCTCATCTAATCAGTATAGCAAACTCTGATTGTAGGAGCAGTCTCACTGACCTACAACCTGCCAGTCTGCATTCTCAGAGCACACAGGCAGGAACCCTGAGCGCTGGACCTTGGAAGTCATTGGTCTAGTGTCTTCTCGGGAGCATAATCAGGGGCTGATGCAAGAAGGGGAGGCTCAGAAAAGTGGTCCTGGGTTGTCAGATATCGTTGGCCAGGGTCATTTTTGTTTTCCACTGCACTGCCTGAGGGCCACCTGCAGCCCAACCATCCTGTCTCCTGACAGGAGGTTTGTGTCTGAGCTCACCCTAACTTCCCCTCACTGTGTCTTTTGCACAGTAATACACAGCTGTGTCCTCGGCCATCATGGAGCTCAGCTGCAGGGAGAACTGGTTTTTGGACGTGTCTCTGGAGATGGAGGTGCGGCTCTTGAGAGTCGGGCTATAGTAGGTGCTTCCACCATAATTTATGCACCCGATCCACTCCAGCCCCTTCCCTGGGGGCTGGCGGATCCAGTGCCAGCAGTCACCACTGGTTGTGATGGAGAATCCAGAGACAGTGCAGGTGAGGGAGAGGGTCTGCGAGGGCTTCACCTGTCCTGGGCCCGACTCCTGCAGCTGCCCCTGGGACAGGGCACCTTGGGGAAAGGAGAAGCAGTTCCTGTCAGACATGTGCAGTCACCACCATCCCATAAACCTGCATCCGACATCAGACACACTTACCCTGGGGGGCTATCAGCAGACACAGGAAGAGACCCAGCAGTCTCATCTTCTAGAGAGAGTTCTGTCTCCTTGAGGTGTCAGCCCCTTGTAAGCAAAGAACTGTGTTCCCCCACAGCGCACGGGAGGATTTATTCCAGAACTGGGAGAGATATTTGCATGTGGGGATATTTTATGTTCTCATAAAAGCAGGGGGACTGAAATCACTGTTCCATGTCTTCCTGGGTTCTGAACACACTTCTTCTCTTGGACTCAATGGTATAAGTCAGGGTTGAGAGAGCAGCTGTCTTATGAGTCATCTTCAAATCATGTCAATTTGCAACTTTTATTTCTCTGTTTAAACATTAAAGCTGGACAGGATGAGAGGTTGCACTATTTTAACCTCATGGAATATTCAAGTAGATATTAAAACAGATTAACAATTTGCTCAAACATCTCTTCAACCCCAAAGAAACACATGAAGCAAATTCATTGTTGCCATGTTGAATAATCATAATTTCATATAAAATAACAATTGATATACATTTTGATGAAAACTAATATCAAACTAAAGACTGTCTTTTCCTTGACCAGACTGAGCTCCCCACTCATTTCCTGCAGATGACAGAGCAGGTGCAGCCTCTGTCTCAGTCCAGCTCCAGGGAATGGGCCACACTGGTTAGGAACTGCTACCCATGGTCCAGCCCAAGGCCTGCACTGAGAGAGGTGTTGGGTACACTGTGTTTTCCCTTTAGTCTCCTTTTCTGCAGAACAGTACAGCCCCTTTCCACAGGTGAGCTGCACAAGTCATCTCCCAGGTTCCTAGGCCACATGAGGCACTAGGACACTTGTTTCACCTTCTCACAAAGAGATAAAACACATTCTCTCTGGAACAGCAGGTGTCTGAGATGTGTGTGGATGACAGGACCTGCTTCTCAGTTTTACAGTCAGTTTTGAATTTACCAACCCATGTTCGTCTGAGACCTTAGGTGGGAAGATATCCAGGGAGCAGTCTCAATGGCTTACTGCCTGCAGGCCTGCATTCTCAGAGATCACAACCAGGAACCCTAAGTGATGGACCTTAGAGTCACTGGTCTGGTGTCTCCCCAGGAACACAAGCAGGAGTTGATGCAGGAAGAGGGAACTCAGAAAAGTGGTCCTGGGCTGTCAGATATTGTTGATGAGGGTCATTGTTGTCTTCCATGGTGCTGCCTGAGGGTCTCCTCAGCCCAACCATCCTGTCTCCAGCAGGAAGGTTTGTGCCTGAGCTCACCCTGACTTCCTCTCCTTGTGTCTCCCGAACAGTAATACACAGCTGGGAAGGGGACTAGGAGCTGATGATGAGTGAAGGTTACAGATGGAGGGAAACCAAAGTATCTTTTATTAAATCACTAAACTGAGGTGAAACACAAGATGCCATTTAATAGCCTGGTAAATACTCAAAATCAGGTTTGCTTTCCTGAGTCTTGCACCCCCTCTATACACAGAAAATTCCCACTGTAGTCCCCATTTAATAGTCCATAGTGAGGCCTGGGGCACGTCAAATAGACTGAGGACATCTATGGACCAGATGTGAGATATCTTCAGGTGACAGATGTGTCAGGATGCCCCCCCCCTTTATAGAGAAGGGATCTGAGACTGAGGAGTTGGTCCATCCAAGTGAGGTCATGGTGGCATTTGGGCCAGGATTGTTACCACTTTCCTACAGATACCACTGGGACACTGTCAGAAGCTCTGGACACCAGAATTCTGTGACCAGCATGAAGGAAAAGGAGGTGGACACCCAGGCAGAGAAGCTGTGACTAAGCCTCCATCACCAAGCAACATACCTGTCCCCAGGGGACACCTGTGCTCCATAACCTACTCCTGTCCTCTTACTCAACATGTAGGAGAAGAGCTGAGCCTCTGTCCATGGCCCTGGGAAGCATAATAATATGTATCCATCACCTTCCCCTGCAATACTGACCAGAGACACATTTCAGGTGAGCACCTGTGTCCCAGTTTTCTCTATGTCTCAATTTTCAAGGAGCTTTACATATTGTGAGGCCCAGATAAGTGGAATCTGTTAAAGGTCTTGTCATTTTTCTCATTTCCATGCCAGGTGAGAACAGAGGGAAGTGTTGGGTACCTGCTTGAGGGAAACTGGAAAATGAAAATTCATAGGAAGAAAGTGTCTCCTGAGAAGGGAGGATCTAATGTGGGCAGCATGGTCCTGTTCATGGTGTCATTAAAAGTCATGTGTTCCCACCCATCATCCTGGTGGACACTGTGAGTCAGACAGTTTTGGGCCCTATAGACATGACACTCACATTGTGATCCCCTTGAAGAAACAATCAGGTCCTTGTAATTCTCTGCATCCTCTCAGGATGAGGACCACTCACTGACTTTGTTCCCATACTTCCATGCCACACACTGCTCTCAGCCCAGGAAACTGATGACCCAAGAACTCTAATCCAGGCTCACCATCTTCCCAGATCCCATTTCCCTAGACACACCCATAGAACAGTCACACCCCTTCTGAAGTTCTTGCCCCAAAAACAGCTCCGCAGAACAGCCTTCCATAACAGCCCCAGCCTGCTGCATTCCAACCCTGTAGGGTCAGGAGGCACCACTTCTCCTGGAAAACACATGCTAACCTCTCACTAGTGCTGGTGTTGCATTTGTGGTAAAACATACATTAACCAATATTCAATGTGCTAATCAATTTTAAATGCACAGAGTGATGTTAAGTACATTTACCCTGCTGTGTAACCTTCATCACCAACCAAACATAGAAATCCTCACTATTGTAAACTGACTTGGTTCACATTAAACAAAAGCTCCTCATATCCTATCACCGGCCTCAGCATCCCCTTTCTGCACGCTGTCTCCATGTCCTTGACCACTCTGTCTGACACCAGTATAGGAGAGTACATAACAGGCACATCTTCTAGAACACAGTTCTGCCTTCCCCAGAGACCCAGCCCCATGTGAGGAGAGAGCTGCAAGCCCCTGAAAACCAGGCGGGGACTTATCCTGGAGCTGGGAGATAAATTTGCATGTGGAGACCCCTGTTCTTTTGAGTGGGCATGGGGTGAATCAGCATCCCCTCTCAGCACCTCTTCTCCTGAACACATAACCTGTGTGGCCTGGGAAGAGAGGGCACCGGGGTTCTAAATTGTATTGCAAAAAAGCCAAAGGAGAGCTCCACCAATCTGGGTGTAAGAGGGAATTTGGAACCTCATTGATTTTTTTATAGATATTATAAGGTAATAGCTTGATACCCATATACCTTCCAAAACCAAAAACATGAAAATACCCAGCATTGGTAAGAATTTTTAATAATAATTTTATGTTTAGTAATGTGTTGCTTTCAATTTAGTTATAAATACAATCCCAAAATATAGCACCAATTTTCCCAGACCTCCTTTTCTTTCATTTAAACACATAGGGCCATGTTTATATGAGTAGCTACAAAGCATGGGCAGGCTGGAACCCTTTGATCTTTGCTGCATGAGTCTTGTATCTGTGTCCAAGGTTCTCTGTGCTAACTCTCCCTTAAGGTACAGAGGCCTATTGCAGAGAACCTTCACATATTCCATCAGAGGGAAGCACAAATTTATAGAAAGAAGAGGAAAAACAAAGTAGTCACTACAACTCTCTATGATGTACCGTCTTCCAAATAGTACAGAGATTATGTCGGCAGAGTCATAACTGACCCACGTCCTCAGATTCTGGCACTAAAGGTTCATAGTGTTCAGAGACAGCAGAGTGGGGTGGGGCTAGTCCATAGCTTGCTCAGATAGAAGGTCATTGTGACACTCAAAGGAACCCTCTCCATCTCCATCTTCCCTGGGAGGGATGTACCTATTGCCAGAGGATCCTGGACACCTGCATTCCATAGATAGTCTTTAATATTCAGGATACAATAATTTGCAGACATAGCATGTGAAAATAGGCACTGCAGCCTAGGCATGTCTTTTCATTCGCTTATGAGTATCTCGGTGGGACAAAAGATTTTAATATTAGCTAAATTTGATTCATCAATATCTTAACTCAATATTTCATATCAAAATTCACCCAACAGCTCACTCTCACAGAGACTATATCCTATATTTCCCTAACATTTTTATGAAGAACATCATGGTCCTGTGATTGCAGAGCAGAGTAGCAGGGCTGATTCACAAATGGTGAGAGTCATGTGCAGAGAAGAAGCTCACTGACTGCCAGCTGCTCCACAGAGACCAGGCATGTCTCCCCCCAGAGTGAGATCCCATAGGGTGCCTGACTCTGGATTCATAACATTAAATGCCAAAGAGAATGGGCCAGTCACCATTACTCCAGTTTCATGGAGTGTTCAAGTTGCTATTCAAAAAGATGGACATTTTCTCCAGAAATAAATTTAAATATGAAACATCACATTAAACATTTTTGCCATTGCCAAGTTCTACAATAACAGTGTCCTGTACAGTCATGTGCAAATATGGCTTTGTGCTCAAGAAAAGACTACTCAACCAACAATGCTCCAATTAAGTTCTTAACGGGGCTCAAATATCCCTCTTGCTTGGGAACAACATTGATGTGATGCCATAGCTCACTGTAACAGTTTTCTGTTACAGGAAACTGTAACAGAAAGAGGAAACCATATGGGAAACAAGTCCAAACCTCCAATTGCACCTGCTCCTGTGATGATTTTTGTGTTCAGGGACACTGAGCACCCCCTGATTGTAGCAGCCTCTCCTGCAGGAAAGTTTGTGTCTGGGGTCACATTGACTTCCTCACACAGTCCCTCACACAGTAATACATATCTGTGTCTTCCACACTCAGGCTGTTCAGCTCCATGTAGGCTGTGGTAGTGGATTTTTCTGTGGTCACAATGACTCCACCCTGGACATTTTGTTTGAAGTTTGTGTCACTATTGTTAAGGTTAACCCTCCCCATCCACTCAGGCTCTTATCCTGGGGCCGGTTGTATCCACTCCATACAGTACCTGGAGAAGGTGTATCCAGAAGCCTTACAGGAGACCTTACTGGAGCCCTAGGTTTTATCTGCTCAACCCCAGACTGCATCAGGTGCACCTGGTTGTGGACACTTGTCAAGATGAGACAAAGTGGTTGAAAATCCTCCTTGATTATTCCTTGTCCTCTCTTCAATCCAGGGACTGAGGAATCCCTTACCTTCAGCCACTTTAACCAGAAAGGGGGCTCTCAAGCTACAGTCCATGGGAAGGCGCTGTGCCATCAAGACCTCTTTAGGGGAGGATGTAGCTGCAGATGATGCTTGTGGAGCACAGTAGACTCACTTTTAACCAAGTCTACCTCTTCTCATTAGCATGCCAATTAGGCAGAGAGTTTCATAAGTAAAGACTTGATGCCACCTGAGAGAATGTAGAGGACACAGGGTCCATGATACAAGGGAGTCTGAATGTCTAGGTTCTAATCAGTGTTGTAGGATTTGTGTAGCCTAGCATGTCCCTGAGCTTTATGCTCACATAACTTGGTCCTTCTAAGTAACAAGACCCCACCTTTGATCCTCTTTGTGAAGTTACCTTTGAGTAACATAGAGATCACCTGGACTAGTTCTAGGCTGAAATACCAAAATGCATTATTTATGCTTCACTCTGTCTCATAAACACTGCATCGAGTGAGTTAATAAAACCATCACTGTCCCTAGCTCTTTAAAATTCACAAGTAAAGATGTCCTAGCAACACTCCTATTGACTGTGGTTTCTTGTCTCATCAACTTTGGTGAGTGCTCTGATAAAATATGATATTTACAGTCACCTCATGCCTGACTCTTAATTTAGATATTTTCAGGGAAAGAGGAATGCCCAGGCCTTAAGGCAAAATTCCCCTCCAGCTCCCACTACAACTGCTCCTTGGGCAGCACCCCTGAACCTGTTGGCCCAGCACACCCATTACTGGCCAGCTTGTGTCCTGCATGGGGTGGTCTGATGTAGGCTCACAGGGCATGCTTCTCTCGGTGACTCTAGTCCAGAATTAATAGCTGCACACTGACTTCAGGGTACTTTGTCAGGGACACCATGTTCTAAGAAATGTTAGGATACAGAGAACCAACTTTGCTAAACTCCAGTGACTCAGCAGGGAGCCCCAAAGCCTGGGCTCTGTGAAGTAACAAGGACAATCTCCCTTGTCAGTGTAGACAACAGCTCCCTCACCTGGAGCAGTTAGATACACTGAAACAACCAACAACACTGAACCCTGAAGTTCTCAGGGGCTTTGAGGCCTATAATGTCTTCAGGTTCCTCTGCTTGTAGGTCCAATCTGAGTGGCCCTACATGTGGCCCTAATCCTACTGCACTTCTACTTCTCAATAAACCACACACACACACACACACACACACACACACACACACACACACACACACACACACGGTGATGATTTTCATGGTAATGAACTATAGGTCTTCTTCGTCCCTGTTCCTAACACATGTGAAGGGTCCCTACACTGACCCTAACCTAGGGGGTCACCTGATTGGACAAGAGAACGAAAGAACACATGGTTGAAGTGCAGACTGGAGCGTGTCTGACCTTGTATTTTCATGTTTCCCAACACATAGAACCTGAAGAGTCCATGGTGAGGAAGGTCCTGGTTCATTTCCCAGAGAGTCAGACCTAGTGGGCCCTTGTCCAGTCAGTGTAGACAACATTACCCCAACATGTGGGTTGGCTTTCCCCTACACAGATAGGTGGGCATGGCTATCGTTCCTTTGCTGAGCCCTTCCATTCATGGAGCCAGCAGGTGGGTGGGATATCTAAGTCCCCATCAACCTTGCTAACATTGTTTGCCCCACTCTGTTGATTCTATGAGGCTCTGATCCTTTCAACTTTCAGGCTCATCTAAGATGTTTACATTGACTATTACATACAAATGGTTAGGCTCATGTTTCAGACTTTTTAAAATTCTCTCAAAAAAAGCAGCACCTGGCCTCTGAGAGCCCCACACCCCTCATTAAGTGGACCCAGGATGAGCAATAGCAACAGTTGGCTTTGGTTCACAGCTTGAACTTGCTTGGACACCTCCAAGCCCAACACAAGTAACAACCCTCTACAGATTGCCTTGCAGCTTATGCTGGGTCGCTGATGATAACAGGCCCCAGAGCCTGTGTACCCAGTGGTAAAGATACAGACCATGTCAGAACACCACCACCCAACCACCTCCACATGTGATACCCTCAAGGGGTGGACTTAGAAGGAACCAGAGTCTTGCTGAAATAGTACTGCTTTGTGAAGTGGGGCTCTGCACAGTTAATCCTCCGTGGTGGTTGAATTTTGGTGGCCAGTGGTCACAACCAGTCCTTGTAGCTCATCGGCCTTGATAAATCATTCTCACTGACCTGCCTACAACTATTAATGGCCAACTGCAAGAGGAGCATAACTGCTGCTCATATGGTGGGGGCACCTTGAGTGCCCATTTTTTGTGGTAATGAAGACTGTGTCAATGGACTGACAGGCCACCTACTATTTTAGGTCACTCTACACAATGAGGTAGATATAGTGGCTCTACCTAATATATAGAAACAAACACAGGGAGTCTGTCAAAACGCGATCAAAAAACATGGCTGAAATTAAAGAACAGAAGAAGAACTAAACTCCAGAAAGTGAACTAAACAAAATGGAGACAAGCAGTCTAATAAGAGCAGTGTACAGCTCACTGATTATTAGGATGCTCAATGAATTAGAGGAAGAATAAAACTCTGAGAGAAATTCAACTCCATACCAAAGGACATGGAAACCATAAAAACAAACCAATCTGAAATGAAGGATACATTAACCGAAGTGAAGAACAAGTTACAGGGAATTAGCAGTACTGTGGGTAAAGCCAAGAATCAAATCAGAGATTTGGGATGGAAGGAAGGAAGGAAAAGAAAACTAATCAGAACAGCAAGAAGAAAAATGAATTAAAATATGATGATAGTGTAAGGAGCCTCTGGGACAATATCAAGAGTACCAACATTCACATCATGGGAATGTCAGAAGGAGAGAAGAGAGAGAGCAAGAAACTGAAAACCTATTTGAAAAAATAATGACATAAAAATTTCAAACAGTGAAGGAAATAGACATACAAGCCTAAGAAGCATAGAGCATCCCAAAGAAGTTGAACTCAGAGAGAATCAAGATGATGAAGTGAGTGGAAGCCACACTGATCTTCTCCCAGGACCATCCTGGAATTACAGCTATATTGTGGAGAAACCACTTGGAACAAACAAATGAACAATAGCAAAAGAAGAACCCTATAACCTTGGACAGACAGAAGAATCAGCTTTATCACAACCTAAGTGGTAAAGGTGTGGTACAGACTCGAGAAGGCAGCTGCAGTGCCCACAAGTGACCACACAATAAGGATATTGAAATGGTCAGTTGGGTCCCCCTGAGAAGAGTGGGGTCTAAATCACAAGTGGGATCACCAGCCTACAATACCGGAGCCCAAAAACTACACAGATAACAGCAAGCTGAAAAAAGCATCAGGGTTGCTCTCTGCCAGAGACAGACAAGAGGAGATGCAAAGAACCATTTAAAGGGCCAAAATATAAATTTTTATTTGAAGCCACTTACACTGGGCTCCAGCAACAGCAGGGACAGAGAGGGCTAGAGACACCAGAGGAGAGACTGGGGAAGGAGGCTTTGGGGAGAGAACTGAGAGAGTAGCTGGCAGGATAAAAAAAATCTCTCCGGTCCCCCACAGTGGGGTTTTTGTCAGAGCTCACCCTGACTTCCCCTCACTGTGCCTCCTGCACAGTAATACACAGCTGTGTCCTCCGTGGTCATGGAGCTCAGCTGCAGGGAGACCTGGTTCTTGGGCATGTCACTTGAGATGGAGGTGCGGCTCTTGAGGGTCAGACTATAGTAAGTGTCTCTACCACTACATATTTTCCCGATCCACTCCAGCCCCTTCCCTTGTGGCTGGCGTATCCAGTTCCAGCAGCTACTGGTGATGGAGTAACCAGAGACAGTGCAGGTGAGGGAGAGGGTCTGTGAGGGCTTCACCAATCCTGGGCCTGACTCTTGCAGCTTCACATCTGACAGAACATCTGGGGACAAGGAGCATCGGTTCCTGTCAGTCACATGCAGTCATTACCATCCCATAGACACATGTCTGACATTTGAGACACTCACCCTGTGGAGCTAATGCAAGGCACAGCAGAAGACCCAGCAGTCTCATCTTGAGGAGCACGCCTGTGCCTTCCCTGAAATGTCAGACCCTTGAGAGGAGAAAGCTGTGATCCCCCACAGACCAGGGGAGGATTTAACCTTGTACAGGGAGATGAATTTGCATGTGAAGGATACTATTCTCATAAAAGTGGGGTAACTGAATTCACTTCCTCATGTGCTTCTTGGTCCAGAGCACCTTTCTACTCAGACTCCATGGAGAGTGTGAGTGAGGAGAGAACAGCTTTGTTATGAGACATCTTTGAATCATGTTGATGGGCAGCCCTTCTTTCCAATTTCAAAGTAAAGTAGGACTGGGTGAGGGGTCAAACTGCTTTAGTCCCATGGAATATTCAAGTGGACATTAAAACAGATTAAGAATCTCCTCAAACATCTTCTCAAGTCCAATGAAAGACATGAAGCCAATTCATTGTTACACTGCTGGATAAACAGCATTTTGTATAAAATAACATTTGATATAAATTTTAATGTGAAAATAATTGCCAGAGAACCATCTTCCCCTTCACCTGAATGAAGGCTCTGGGGCCTACAGATTGCAGTGAAGGTGAAGCCTCTGTCTCAGTCCAGCTCCAGAGAATGGGCCACTCTGTTTGGGGACTAATGATGAGGGTGTCAGGGACATGAGAGAGGTGTTAGACATGATGTGTTTTCCCTTTTGCCTCACTTCCCCCAAAGCAGTGCAACCCCTTCCAGCAGGAGAGTTGCACAAGACACCTCACAGGATTCGAGACTACATGAATCACTAAATCTGGATTCCCCTTATCCCAGAGGGACATAAGGATCACATTGCAGGGCCATAGGTGTCTGATATGTGTGTGGATTACAGGGCCTGCTTCCAGTTAAACAGTCAGTTTAGATTCTGTCATCCCTGTATTCAATTGAGGCCCTAGGGGACAGATATCTGAGGGCTTATGTCTTTGAAAAGAAAAGAAGACCTCAGGATGGATCAAGGTTATGGTGGAGGGAAACCTAAGTGCACAGCCTTTGTATCTCTTATTAAATCAGTGAACTGGCATGTAGTAAATGATGGGATTTAACAGCCTAGTAAATGCTCAAACCATGTTTGTTTCCACAGCAGGGTATGAGTCTGGCACACCCATTGTATGCAGAAAATTTGCACATTTCCATGCTTGGGGCACATCTGACAGAATGCGGACATCCATGGACAAGAAATGAGATTTCTGCAGGTAAATATTTTCTCAGTATTTTCCCCCTTTGGAAAAAAAAAAAAGAGCTGTGAGTGAGGTATTGGTGCAGCTTTGTGGGGACAAAGTGGCATCTATGCCAGGAAGGCTCCACTCTCCTACAGGGGCTGAGGGATATCTGTCAGGGGTTCTGGACACTTAACAGCTGTGGCCAGCATGAAGGAAATGAAATGGACACTTACGCAGAGATGCTGTGACTAAGCCACCTTCAGTGAGCATCACGACTGTCCCCAGTGGACATCTGTGCTCTGTAACCCTTCTCCTGCCTTTTCCCCCACATGAAAGAGGAAGGCTGAGCCTCTGTTTATGGTCCTGGCCACCCCAGTGATATGTGACCTTTCCTGCTCCAGAGGGCCATCAAATAGACATGCCCTCTGCCCATCATCTCCCCCTGCAACACTGACAAGGGACGCATTTCTTTATTTCCTCTTCTCTTTTATTCATAGTTTCTATGTCCTTTTTCATGCTGATATATTTCATCTTAAATTGCTCATAGTTTCCATGTAGCTTTTGGAAATTCTCTCTGAGCTCACAGAGCCCACTGAGGTTCCTTAGAACCATTGCTTTGTACTCAACATCTGATAGTTTACTTGCTTCTATTTCATTTATTTCTCTTTCTGGGGATTCCTCCTTTCCCTTCGATTAAGTGTTGTTTCTTTGTCTTCCCATTATTTTTGAAACTCTTCCACTCTGCTTCTGCTTCTTAAATTGATCTGTCTTGATTTCCTGACATTTTGATGTGAACTTTATTGTAGGAAACCACTGTTTTGCTTTCTGGGTCTGCCTTTGATGATGTCAGAATTTGACTCCATCTGACCTTAATTAGCCTGTTCAAGATTTCGAGGAACCTGCTGTCTGCAACTGCTTCCCTGCTGTTTAATTAGTCACTCTGCATTCAGCCATCAGGCTTTGGCACCACAGGGGAGGGTTATAGAAACTTTCTCACACTTCTGCCACTCAGGGGAGCAGTCTCCCTGAGTCAGGTGGCTGCTGCAGTATGGGAAAGGAGTCAGCACTAGGGTCCTGCCAGCTACTCTAAGTTCTCTCTCCAAAGTCTCTGTCTCTGGTTTCTTCTAAAATATGTGTAGACCACTCTATGCCCCCTTTAGACAGGGATCTATTACTGTGACTGCCACTCTGTACTCAGAAGTCAGACTTTTACATCAACTGGCCAGGGCAGAGTCACTGCTGGGGTAGGGTTATTGTGACTTCTCATGCTGTTACTGCTTATGGGAGGGGTCTCCCTGATTGACAGTGCTGCTGCCAAATGGGGAGGAGTCAACACCAGCATCCTGCCTGGCCACTCTCTCAGTTCTCTCCCCAAAAGCTCCTTACCCAGTCTCTCCTCAGGAGTCTCCAGCCCACTGTACCCCCACCTTTTCCAGAGAACAGGGTAAGTGGCTGCAAAGAAAAAAATATATATTTGATGGCCCTTTGAAAGGCTCTTGACATCTCCAGGTGCTTGTCTCTGGAAGAGAGTGACCCTTTTGCTTTTCAGAGATGGCTGTTATCTGTGTACTTTAGGGACACTGATATTTAGGCTGTATATCCCAATTATAGTTTCATTGCCACTCTTCTCAGAGTGATCCAACTGGTCATTTCATTATCCTTCTGATGCTGTTGCCTGTGGGTGCCCCACCCAGAATCTCAAGTCCCTAACACACTCCTTACCCTTTATGATGTGTTAAAGCTGATTCTTCTGTCTGTCCAAGGTCATATGGCTCCTCTCTCCCTATTGTTTAGTTGTTTCTTCCAGTAATTTATTCATGGTTTGGTTGTAATTCCAGGTTGGTCCTGGGACAAGGTCAGTGTGACTTCCATTCACTCCTCTGCCAAACTGATTTTCCCCTGGTCACATCAGATCTCAATGTGGCTCAAATATTTCTCTCACCTGGGGGCATTGTAGGTATTGTAATGTCATAGCATATTGCATTGCTCATATGTGTGTGCCCTGACTGCTGTGCAAAACAACCTACTGCACTGTCATGCATGTAAAAACACAACCTTTAGGGCCACAGTGGTGGCAGAACCCTCCAGGTGTGTATAGTTACACTGTAACTCACACAAGTTAAAATTGCAGAGCCTCTGGTTAAATTAAGCTAGGTTTGATAGGACAGAGGTCTGACAATCCATTGAAATTGAGCGCAGAACTGATTGAAAGAGACAACATTCCCTTTTTTCCACTATAGAAGGTTGTCTTTCTTTACAACAGAACTTTCTAACTCAGAGACTTCAGAGGTTCGTGCAGAATCAGGAATTCACTGAGGTTTCCTGATGGAAACTGTTAGATGATGTGATGAGGAAATATCACAGGGAACAAGCCTGGGCTTACAAATGAAAGTGATCCTGGGATGATCCTGCTGTTCCAGGAACCTGAGTGACACACCTGGTGTAAGAGCCCCTCAGACAGGGAAGTTTGTCTCTGAGCTCATGCTGACCTCCCCGCAGTCTGTCTCCCCCACAGTGATACACACCGTGTCCTCAATGGTCAGTGAGCACAGGTTCCTGGAGAAGTTTTTCTGGGACATGTGTCTGGAGTTGGAAGTTTGGCCCTTTTTTGTATATGTGTATACATGTGTATAAAAATTCAATTATGCCATTGCAGTTGTCCCATGTTTCTCTCCTTTTATTCCCCTCTATGCTGCTCCCCCACAAACAGCATCCCCACCTTCCTTAGTTCATACCCATGGGTTGTACAGTAGGTTCTTTAACTTCTCCATTTTCTATACTATTGTATCCTCTCCCATCTGTTTTGTACCTACTATTTATGCTTCACATTCCCTGTACATTTTCCCCAATTCTCCATCTCCTCCTACTTTCTGATCTCAATTTCTGTATTTTTTCTCTTATAGCTCTTTGCTTAGCTGGCTTTTGGTACACACACACACACACACACACATGTATGCATATGTATACATATCTCTGTGGATGTACATATATACACAGACATATGTATACATTTATACATACACATGCATGTATAAACATACACACAGATATACATATACACATATGTATATATACACAGATGTGTGTGTGTGTGTGTGTGTGTGTGTGTATTTAGGTTCAGTTGTTGATAGTTGTGATTTTGTTGTTATTTTATTATTCTCAATTTCTGATCATCTTTTTCTTAGGTATGTCCCTTTCACCTTTCATATAATAAGGACTTGGTGATGATGAACTCCTTAACTTGACTATATTTGTGAAGCACTTTATCTGTCTTTCCATTTGAAATGATATCTTTGTTGGATAGATTAATCTTGGTTGTAGGTCCTTGCTTTTCAGTAATTTGAATATTTCCTTCTAGTCCCTTCTCTCTTGCAAGGTTTCTTTTGAGAAATTAGCTGAAAGTCTTTTGGGAACTTCTTTGTAGATAACTGCCTCCTTTTCACTTTCTGCTTTTAATATTCCCTCCTGCGTATCTGATAGGTTGGTTATCTTTTCACCACTTAGATCTCTTTTTGGAGCTTTTATATTCTCTCTCATTTGAGCCTTATTTCTCTGTCTCAGCTCACCTGTTACATTGCAGGTGAGGAGTCTTAGGTATTTACCAGGAAGGGAGCAACCCAGGTTACTGTGTTGTCATGCTGTGTGGGGGGGGGGGACTGAGGCATAACCATGCCACTTGCTGGGGTATGAGCTGGATTTCAGTAACTTCTGCCTCCTACCCATAGGTAAATTTGGTGTTTCCAGTGCAGATTCCCAGATGGATGGGTTTGTGTACACTCTAGGACCCCGAGTGTTTCAACAACAAACACTTCTGTGAGGCTGTAAGTGTCCTCAGCTGCCACATCTTTCACAGGTATATACAGCC